ATAAAGCAGACCATTTCCTACTATATGCTACATGCTAGTAAAGACTGGACAATTCCCTGACCCAATTCTCCCAAAATTCTCTGTAGTTCATGTGTGAAAACAGCTTAAGTTGAGACAGATTAGTCAGCTGAGCAGTGCAAGGTAATAATTAGTTCACAAGATCTGTCACGTAACCACACTGTAAATCGAAGTATTTAAAGCTCCTGCAGCATTCAGTCCTGCACGTGAAAACGTTTCTGAAAAAACGGGGAAAATAAAGAACAGCACGATGCACAGTTGCACTTTTTCACAGGACAGAAAAGGGAATTATTCTGTTAACAAAGGATTAATTCTCCTCATACAAACACAATTGGCTTTACCAGAACATTAACGGTAAGTTAACAGGCTCTTTTTGCAATGAGCCTGTTGGTGTAATTCGTACCCCTTCTCAAAATAAATCACAGTCCTCCTTCTGTTCCACAGCCTTTAAAATCCCTGGCACTACTCAAAAGGAATGAGTCGTAACACAAGAGCAACAGTCCATCAGGCACAGGCAAAGAGAAAGAACTCTGCCTTTCTTCTCATGATATCCCTGAACTCACCGAGCTGGACATCAACAGGAATGCAGAGCTGTATTCAGGGCTCTTTCATTCAAGTGCAGTCTTTCCCTTTTCTGCCCACTTTTCAAAGTAGCATTGCCTATGTAATTTTCCATGAGAGCTGCTCCATTTATCAAGGTCGGTGGCACATCGAGGAAGCTGACGAATGCCTCACTCCTCTAGGTTTGTATAATGAGAGGTGGGAGAGTGAGACACACTCAGAGGTAGTTAGCGCTTGTACAAAGGAAGTAGACAAAGAGAAAGCTTTGGGGACCTTTAACTTAGGACATAGGCAATGAAGCCAAGCTATTACACCTCTGCCATGGAGAACAAGATTACTAGTGAGACAGATACTGATTAATGCTTGGATAAGCCATACAAGATCTTTTAAACTAGATCTTTCAGACAAGCTGTAACAAGGTTGACAAATATCCAAATTTGCTTCCTAAGAATCTGCTCTATGGTTAAACTCTACATAATATGCACATTCAAGCATAACATTTATATACAAAAAGCATTCAGACTTTGATACAAATGCCATATTACCCTGTAAAGCTTCTGGATGCGATTGGGTAAAAAGGGAAGGCATTAAATAACAGTGTGCAGAAGGCGGATAAGCAAGTACTTTGATGACTAAGGGGAGTTGTGAGTCAGTTCAGTGGTCGTTTTTCACATATTTTTCCCCCCCATCAGATTTAGTATCAATTTCACAGGCAGTAAAACAAATGTCGTCAGTGGACACTGAAAGCTGGTGAAATTGGCTTGTGTATGATGAAAAAACAAAAACAGCGTCCAAAATTCACTCAAGTCTGTAAATATTTGGACAGTTGACACCATTTCCAATTTTGCCTCTGTGCACCACCACAGTGGATTTGAAATGAAGCAATCAAGATGTGATTTATGGAATTATGGACAAACCAATGTGATTATAAATCTAAGCACTGTTTTTAATACTTCTCAGTGACTGCCAAAAAACGTTTTGCCAGACATTTACAGAATCCAGCTTCACTCGCTGCTTGTTTCTACAACTTCCTGCCTTTGGTTTAGTCTTCAGTTAGTGAAAACCATGCTTATCTGGGCTGAGGTCTGGGGACTGGAGCAGCCATTTAACATCATTCAGTTTCTCTGCCAAAGAAGCTCTCAGGTTGCGTTGGCTGTTATGTTTCAGGTCATTATCCATCTGTACAGTTAAGTGCCGTCCTATTAGTTTCCATTAGCTGCTATATTTGCCCATGCTATAATACGTTATTCACCATATTTGAGAGAGGATGTACGCTTCGGATCCTGGGCTATTACGAGTCATTTTGTGGCAAAGGTCAGGTCTAATCAGGTCTTTCAGTTCCTGGGTGTTACAAATGGTTTCTATGCTGTGGTAAACCTTTTTTACTTGCATTCGCGTGCAGGATTTTGTGTAGATGACCTGTAACATGCGTTTCAATTACATTGGGAAAAAAATGGAGCAGGATGCGCTATGAGAAGAAGAAAAATCAGCACAAGCGTTGCAACGCTCTGGGCAAAGTTTGCTGGGGTATTTGGCATTCTGGCATCTGCGTGGATACTTTTTCACAGGTACCACCAACACAAAAGTTACTGCACACGAACCACACATCTCTGAGGTACTTGAGCAACAGTTATGTTTACTGAAAGCCAGTAAGGAGAAAAGATTTCAAAACCAACTCTGTCTACATAAGGATTGATTATGAGCAATGAAAATGAGAAAGGCATAATTGTCTACACTAACAGAATAAAAACTAATGCACAATATAATGTTCAAGCTTGATCTCCTAGTGCTAATCAATACTTGTGGTGTTTACACCACATACAATGGAAAGGAATGCACTAGCATTTATCTAGCACTTTTCTAATCTTCCCACTCAAAGTGCTTTAGACTAAAATTTAATTATACATTTATACACAGCTTTCTTCTTTATATTTTAAGCACTTTATTTATCTTTATTTATCTCGCATACGGTAATGAATGCCTTGGATTTTAGGTAGACTGCCCAAAGGAAATCCATGTAGGTACAGGAAGACCTCTGTTATTAGACCTCTCTCTGCATTGAATCATACCTGTTATTAATCTCTGTCTCTCTTCCACAGCATGTCTTTTGTCCTGTATTCCTTCTCTAACCCCAACTGGTCGCGCAGATGGCCCCGCCCCTCTCTGAGCCTGGTTCTGCCAGAGGTTTCTTCCCGTTAAAAGGGAGTTTTTCCTTCTCACTGTCGCCAAAGTGCTTGCTCATAGGGGGTCACATGATTGCTGGGGTTTTCACTATATGTATTACTGTAGGGTCTACCATACAATATAAAGCACCTTTAGTTGTGATTTGGCACTGTATAAATAAAACTGAATTGAATAGAACACGCAAGCTCTGCAGGAATCAGGAACTTCCTTGCTGTGCAGAACACTGATAATCATTGCACCATCATGCCGCCCATGGCAACATTTCTACTGCCAAACAGACCTATCGCAACTGTCGAGGTCTGCATCACTGCGACATGTACATTTAACGCAAAGCTGTAAATCAGGCATTAGGAACAGATGGTGTCCCTAATGAGTTGACCAGTGAGTGCAAACTTGAGCTATTTAACAAAAGGAAATCAATAAAATAAATACATTTAAAAAAAAATATTTAAAAAGCGAATAAAATATTCCTTGAAGTGGTCCTTACTTACATGTAACAAACAGCAGGTTGTAGCCTACTTCAAATGTGTTTGAACTAGTAATCACGAATGGTTATTTTACAGTTATTATATTAGCTGTGCTATTCACACATCAATCCAAAACAACTTTGTATTAAGAGAGCTAGCAGGTTAAAAGCTGGCTAATTTCCAGTCAGGCGGCGTCACACATTTGTGTCTCTATCGGTTAAGTCCTAGAAAAGCTCGGGGCTGAAGAGCAGGGCTGAAAGCAGCTTTTGTTTGATTTTATTCTTTGAGGTAAATGCACTTTTGATGTGTGTGGTTTTTAAAAACACATCCATTAAACATTGGACACCAAATGAAACTGCTCTTCAAGCCAAAACTGATGAATGCAGCAACGCAATCACATCCCTTTCTTTCTTCCACCATCACACTTTCAAGGATACATTTAATCAAGATCGATATTTAAAAGCAGTTGTGACCCCTCTCCTTTATTCAGCGCAGTGAACCAATTCACGAAATCTTTTCATTCGAAATACATCGCAATTACAGAATTCACATTGAAATTTCCTTTCGCGGCACTCGACAGCTCTACAGCTTGTGCTCATGTCTGGGTGTCCTGGATTTAAGGAATCAAACAGGCTTCCTTACAGCCCATCCCCCATGCCACTTTCAGAGCAGCAGGAAAAACGATGAAGGCGTGCTTTGCACCAGCTCCCTCCCCCACACACTGCTCCACCAGGCATTGCTGGGGCTTGTGGGATTAAGAATGGAACACGATGACAGACAAAAACAGTCCTCAGCACCTCCCTGCTCTGCTGTCTTTTATACTGCAAGAGCATGAAAAGGCTGCTATGAGGCATACAATAGAGACAGTGATAGATCAACTCTATGAGTGAACAAGATAAGTGTGGGTGAACAGCTACACGGATCTTTATATTGTTCCTGTATGACAATGTCAGCGTTGAAATTGTGCGAATAATAAAAAAACGAAGAAGAAATTTTGACATTTACTTCACTTCACAGGGATTATGTTATGGTTTTGCGTGACAGTGTGCATTACATTTTAGTCAGCCACTGGTACTTTACTGGCTCATGTGAAGCACATAATACCTTTGATTTCAACTGAGGCTTGTTGGCATTTATTTTTAACATGGAATAACCATTTAAAATAAGCAGGCAATTATCAATCCTGCTTTCAAGAACAGGGGGGGAAAAAAAAACACTGCTGTGTGGGCCATTTCCTGTAGCTGGACTCAGCATCTTATACATCAAGGGTACCCTTTCTCATTGCATGGTAATAAAAGAGAAATCAGCAGTTGGTCTTTTCTTCTGCATCACATGTCAGACTGCTTTGGGGAATGTACATTTCCAAGCCTGCAGAAAGCAACAGGCCCTTATGAGCACAATTTCCAGAAGTCTACGGTATTAAGCACTGCTGTTTTTATTTCTCTATGATAAATAAAGCCAGTGCTGTTTCAAAGATACTTTTCACCTTATAAACAAGGCGAGCATTCTTCTTGCCAACACAGATTTCGATAGAAATAGAAAATATTGTCAAATTTAGCAGGCTTTAGTTAGGATAAAAAAAAACATGTATGCCAATATGTTTGTTTTTTCTAGGAGACTAATGAATAAAAACAACTTATTTAATGTCAAAGGTACATTTCGCTAAAACGAGAAATTAAAAAATTCTTTTCACAAGGACAAATATAACCCAATCCAGTGATGCCAAACAGATATGTGCAAAGTTAAAACCAAAAATAAAGGAAAACGTACCTTTTCATTTTTTACCTTCTTTAACGTCTTGCATTCTCCATTACCATTCTCCACCTCCTCTGGTTCAGTTTTTGTAGTCAGTGCTGGTACTATCCCAACAGGTTCAAGTGCAATATTCCCCATTTGATTGGCATCTGCCAAGTCTGCTGATTGCGTGTTCTCAAAGGATGCGTTACGACTATTTCCCAAAGCAACCTGGGCTTGAGAGACAACGTCCTTCTCTGTGACACCTATTGCAACGACAGGGGCGCCATCTGTTTTGTCCTTCTTGCTTTTCCCACTAGCCCCGTCTTTCTCTTTTTTACCGCCGAGAACACCTCTGGAGGCTTTTCCCACTTTTTCCATGTTCTTCCCAGAGGTGGAATTGTTGCCAGCAGCTGCTGCACTTGCTGCTGTGCCTGTTGGCTCCCCTTGAGTCCGCCCTGTAGTTTCTTTTTTACCCCCATCTCCAGCTGAAGCTTTGTTATTATTGTCTTTAGAGTTCTTACTGCGCTTGTATTTGGATTTACTTTCCTTGCCTTGAGAGCCAGACACTGGACTAACAAACCTGATGTTGTCAGGCAATGCCGCAACTGCACTTGGTGGTGCCGCCATACCGTCCTTGGTGCCAGACATCTCAAGTTTGTCCTTCTCTAAGTCAGCGTCAAGGTCAATAATCAGATTTCCAACACCGATATCCCACTCATCCCCGCTGTCGTAAGTGTCCACCGCATTAGAGTCCACACCTTTCCCGCCTGCAGTGCCACCACTTAGGGACATTTTAGTGCCAACGGCCCAGGATTGCCTCAGTGAGGTCCGACACCCTCTTAGACGGTTGGGACACAGGGGCAAGGGTTAGAGAATCCTCACGGTCTACTTGTTCCTGTCCCATTTAACCACATTTTACCCTAGAAAAAACAGAAGCAAGAAAACACATACATTAATCTCATATTTCAGACACAAAAATAACAGTGGATACAAAAAAATATATATATATCGTTTGATCATGAGCCAGTAATTCTCTGATGATCACCGTGCAAACCACTATGGTAATACCCACTGGTGTGACAGCGCTGCTCGAAACCCTCTCTTCATAATCACTTCCCACAGTCGTCATGGCAACCATGGGAAATGTAGCCTAAATCCTGCCTTGACAGCCAAGGTGGCCCCACTGTTCTGAATGACTGGCTCTCTTTTCACAAGCCACTGCTGATAGTGCCACTGCTGATAAATAAGAAGTAGCTGGCCTCACACTCCCCCGCATGGTTTATGAAGCCGTGCCTTTTCAACTCAATAGTACAATGGTAATCTTGAACTAACAGAGGAGCTTAAAAGCATGAATGAACCAGTGTACGTCTCAGGAGAACACCAGTTTGTTGTATTTGCTTACACAATGTAGCCTAAAGGTCATCACTTTTATATATCTTTGGGCAAATAAATATGACATTCTTGAACAGATCTTAGCTGTATCCATTTGTGGACATACTGCAGAACAAAATGGTCAGAAAAGAATGTTTAAAAATTCTTTTCTCAAAACAGAACTCAAATCTGGGTTTGAAAAAGGTAAGATAGTTATATAAATCTTTTTGTATAAAGATACAAGTTTTTTGTTCTTGTTTTTTCCTCTGGAGTTTCAGGGGGAAAAAAAAAGATGTGAGCTCAATGTGAAAATCAAGCTGTTAGCGTGCTTGTTGTGAGTGGGCGACTGTGAAAAGAGGTTATTATTTACTATAAGAAACACTGAAAGTCTGCTAGGAGCTTTGTAAAGTACAACGATGTCTCCGTGTAATTAACCAATGCACAGCTTCACACAGTTTTACAGTTAGGTAGTTGTATTTTGACACTAAAGTAATAACTTGCCATTAGCTCAGTATTAGCAACAGGTATATAGGGGCTATGTATGACTACATTTATATGAAAATGGTGATTAACAATAGTGGCTAAAACTAAGATGCAGAAACACAACTTAAGGTCAGCATGAAGTTGAAGCTATGTAGTAATACTAATGTAATGAATGGAGATATGTGTAAAATAACAGAAATAAAACAATGCTAATAATAGAAGCAAATAATGATGAGTTCATACAGATTGTGTTTACATATTATAGGCTATTAAAAATATCTTAGTATTGTATCACATAAAAATATATCCTCAGAGGAAGTCAAATATTATAATCATTATAATACAATGTTGAATTTCATGCTTATGTCCCAAACATCTATTCCTGCCTAAAGTGCTCCTTTAAATTTGATGCTTATTGCTACAACTATTTACGGTCAGGTGGGTCTACAAAATGATTAGCTTTCATTTTCTGCTACATTTCATAGTAAAATTATGCTTCAGCTACATCTAATTATCAGCTTGGACCTAACCTTCTCAGAAATGTAAATGTGTCGCTGAGATGCAAACTGCAACAACTGCAGTTTGGTCGGCAGCAATATGTCGTGTAGCAAACAGATGTAAATGTTGCATGGGATGTTCTGTGAAAATTTATGTATATTGTAAATGCAAGTAGTAGTAGTAGTGGAGTAAAAATGTAAAAAGAAAATTTGATTAAAATCCAGAATAAAATTTGCTATACGGATTCAGCAAACCTTTTTCACAATCAATCAATCAATCAATGCGTAAATGAACAACAGGCATTAAACAGTGCTTCTATAAAGGTGAGTCAAGAACTGATGAAAATCAAGGACATCATTCACAGTGTGTTACTAGAGATATCAAACTCTGCCAGTTAAAAAAAAATAAATGGCAAGAAAGCATTTTACTTTTACTTTATTCATAAAACCTATAAATTTATAATGCAGACTTTTTTTTAAAACCACAAACCAATATAATTAAAATTCACATCTGAATGTTGGACTTCTACTCATGTGTATTTGGCTCATTTGAATCCTGTGGCATCCACCAAGAACTGTGACAGCACCCAAAGAGATTACATGGAGATATTAGCATATTTTCTGCCTCATTACTGCTGGTAGTACAATTAAATGAAATAAATGTTTCTATAATGGAAGAGCTCAAAGAATTATTCTTTATACCAAATTATCCAGTTATGACACATACCCACACAAGACTATATTTATAAGTTCAGTTACACCCTCCTCAGGGGGGAAAAAAATCTAAAGGATGCAGCACAGATGCTGGTGCACACTTACACCTACCAGCTCATTTTAACATGTACCCTGACTTAGCTCCATCAAGAAAAACAGTGGAAACATCACAGCTGGATCACACAATACACACATCTCGTTCTGTTAAATGATCACCCCCAGCAGTGACGGAGGTAAAACTGTTGAGCAATCATTTGATCGCTGCTTACTCCTCACAGATGGCTCCCCAAAGGAACGACCATCAGTGACAGGTTTTGGAGGGGCGGAGTGATGCAGCTGTCCCTATATGACTGGGTAAACAGTTGTGAGGTCTAATTTGTCCAACACCTCGACAAAAGAGAGGTTGTAACTCTAGTGGCAGTTGACCCACTGTACTGCCCCTTTTGCTGGAGCTGCAGCGCAAGCCCCTTTTGAAAAAGCTGCACTGAGGAAATGTCCCAAAGAGTGGCCCATTGAGTGAAAGGCATGCAGGCTGTGTAACTCCCACAGTGCTTGCACCCCCAGCCTCCTCCCACCCCCTTTTTTTTTTCTTCTCTTCACAGATCCAGTTTCATTCAGCTATCTATTAGAGGCCATGTAGGGGTGATTTAGCCTTGAGAGTGTAGAAAAAGGACAGCGGGTTGTGATTTCTGGATTATTTCATGTGGAACACAGCTAATTCAGATTTGACATAATGTGGTTTTTCTACATGTGACTGCTAGAGTATGTGTCTGTAAACAAGGCTCTGAAAATGACTACTGAGGCACCGGCCAGCCTCATTTTCCCTTTTTTTGCTTACCAAGTGTAGCAGACAGAAGCAATACAATGGAAAGGTGAAAAATAACACACAGACACAATGGGAAATATGACAAGTGACTCTATTATTACCACCTGTACCTGACAGAGAAAATATGACTGCACTATTAAGGGCTCAAATGAGGGTAATTCTCCAAAATCTGACAAAAATAGCCGGCAATGGACGTCACACATTTTAAATCAAAAGTCAGAGCAGGTAATTATTGTTTGATAGCACAGACAGCCAGATAAGGACTCAGCTAAGGTATAAATGAGACGTGCCCTTAAATTAAGCATGATTATCTCTGCTAGGAACCTTCTTACTGTATCCTACTATCACAAACCCAGAGATCTTTGAGACACATGGCAACGAAAACCCATTCATTTAGATTATTGCATCCCATGATAAACACATATTTAATAGCACTACCAGTGGGGCCCAGGGCATTGTTTGTTGCAGCTCCTGGTATAATAACAATAAAAAAAGCTTATATAATGCTATAATGGTTTCTTTTCCTTTTTTTTTTTATTGAGGTGCATACTTAGTCATAATGATTATTACCTCATCCTGAACTCGGTGCACCACATCTTATTAAGGACTGAAAGATGTTTCTCCAGAGTTGCTCTAAATTGTCGTGCAGGGCTGGAGGAGAGATTTGGTTTACCATATCTCACAGAGAAGAACACCTGCAAAATCTCAAATGCATTCCCTGCATAGCTGTGACTCTCTATATCAAGCACTGAATGTTTGAACAGTGAGGGATATCCAGTAGCACTTGTGCTAGGAAAATGCACCATGCGCATTCACACTTCAGATTTCATTCGTGTAGCTGACAAAAAAAAAAAAACGGAAGAAAACGGAAAAAAACTCAGCTCCACTATCCACATCCTAAAATTGCTCATATTGCCGCTTTAATTCTCAGTTTCAAATTGTATAACAGGTGAACAAAATGCAGTGAGCATAATGACCGAAAACAAGGGAGCATCAAAATGTGTATGCATATTACTTTTACAGTATTGTGGAAACTAAAAGCTGAATTAAGAGAAGGAATCTGAGTGATCTGGGTGTGTAACAGTGTGTTAATCTATATTACATTAGAACTCGCTCTCTCTTTTTTCCATTGGTTGAACACAATGTTTTGTTTTTCCCCTTTTACATTTAGCGTTGTTTGACTTTCACATGCTTTGGCTGCTCCATATGTTTCTGGATTGCAGTCGTCCAATTGTGCTATCGTTAATTTGATGGTTGTGTAACTTCTTGCCTGCTTCTTCTATTGTGCAGCAGTAGTTCAATAACAAGATGTTTCCTTTAATGGAAAAAGTCTCCAGCAACTAGCTCCATTTAAAATGACTGCTGAACCCACTTTTAGCTGCTCAAATATAATTAAACAAATGGAAAGAATCACAATTGAGGACTGCCTTTACTCTGAAACCAACATTATTCTGAGGTTTCTTTTAACTGCCTTTATGTTGTGTGTTTTAGTTCAGGTGTCTTTTTGTATTTAATTTATCTCCAACAGGTGAGATGCATGTTCCACTAGATTGTGATCAAGTGACTGACTTCCTATTGAAGAATATTCCACTTCATTACCTTCAAAAGCGCCCGGATTGCTTACACAGTGTTTTGGGTCAGTTTCCATCTGTACTGTGAAGTAGCGTCCCATCTACTTTGCTACGTTTGGCTGAATCTAAACAGACAGTATTTTCTTTGTACACTCTGGATTATCCCACTGCTTTTGTCATCTGTCACACCATCAATAAACACCAGTGACCCAGTACCGCTGGAAGCCATGTCCAGTCTAATCTGGTCTTTCGGCTCTTGGTTTGTACCTTAAGGTAAACCCTCTGCAGTTCTTTTTGTGAAGTCTTCCCTTTATGCTATGCTTAGATAATGATATGCCAACCTCCTGGAGAGTTGTCTTCACCTGACTGCATGCTATGAAAGCAATTTTGTTTCCTTTGCAAAGGCTCCTGTGATCATGCACCACTGTTCCCTTCATCTAATGGCCAGGTCTCTATAT